GTAGAGGAACCTCAGTCTCCAAGCAACATCCCAATAGTCTGACCACATTCCGATGGCTGATTTGCGAAAGAATGACTACCTCGTTGATGAATTGCTCTAATTGGCTTTCATCAACTACCTTCGATTTCTTGACTGCCACAATTCTTCCATCAACTAGCATACCTTTGTARACTGTACCTTGACCTCCTCGGCCGAGAATTCTGTTCTCGTTGAAGTGATCAGTGGCCGTCTCCAATTCACGTGACGTAAAAAGTATGGTTCTATCAACTAATGATGGTTCGGCTTCTTCTTGTTGCTTTAGGAGTAAACCACCATTGCGTTTAAAAAACCTCTCTCTTCGTCTCCTTGCCTTTGTTTTCTTGATTACCTTGTATAACGCATAGATGAGTGACATGATAAAAAGTAACCCCATGCTTATGCTAACACCTGTAATTGATTAACATTGCAGCCTCAAACATTTAATACAAGTAGAGAAATAATGCATGTTATCACTACCTGGTTAAATTATCTTATACTTTTTTTTATTAACCTGGATATCTAACCCGCTAAGCGAGCTGATTAATGCCAGGACGACCACCTGCTTTGCAGATAGTCCGGAGTTACCGCATTTGAACCTCGGTGGCCATAAGAAGATTTTTATACTTTTATGCACTACAAGTAACAAGGTTTTTATAGAGGGAATTTTTAGAGAAGGATTTGAAAACGTATCTAAAGATGATTTTTAGAGAATGAACTACATGACAAAAAGTATCCTTCTAGTATATATATATATATATATATATATATATATATGACCGATCAAATACTAAAAAGGAAGTGATCTGAAACACTAAGTATCCTTCATATATATATATATATATATTAGAAGGATACTCGTTTAATACAACGAGACACATCTTGATTGTAATGTTTTGTTTTGTTTTTTTGTCTCTATTGATATTACCACATGGTTTTATGTGGTTTTGATAAAGCGTTATTGTCTTTATGTTTGAATAAAATATAAATTTGAATATCTTATAAAAAATTAAAAAATATATTGATATTAGTATCATACTAACTATTTAATTGTTCACGTTTTTTGTGTAATTTATTTAATTCAAATTTTATTGTAATTTAATTTAGATTTAATAACAAAGTAATTTATTTTT